GCAGCCCGACACACAATAAGATCACACTAATTTTGGACCCACTGAATTTGTCTCTGTAATCAAGCTTGTCATTTAACAACGCCGATGCTTGACTTCCCACTCTTGAATCTCTTAATTGGAAGTTGCATTGGAAGCTGTTGGCCATTGTGCAAATTGTTTAACACCTGGTCGAAAAAAGAAAACAAGTTTTACATAAGAGACCTCAAGACAACAAAGTTGAGATAACGGGAGGCTAGATCACTGCCACAGTATCAACTACCTTCCAGCTAACTTGCTCATTGCAGCATTTACCCTCTCATCTGAGATCGATTTATGGCTGTCATAAAAATCTAGTATCTCCATTGCTATATTTTTCACCTGTCAACATTGAGAAATTGGTTAAACGATGATGCTAGGAAGAAACTTCATCTAGGATAGTCAATCTCCAAGCTGTTTAAACTCGTCGGAACATGGCAGGTTGTTTGAGCAACAATCTGATTATTATATCATGAATCAGTGCCTTTGAGACATTTTGCATCACTCACCTAAACACCAGATGTAAATCATTTTGACGTGTGACAGATCAAGTTTTATTTAACCATAGACTATCTTATCAACCTGTTTTACCACCCACATTTGACATAACGAAGTACATATGACATGAAGCAAGTTCTAGGAGTTGAGAAAATCCTAAAACAATATAGAACAAAATCAATCCTCTCTTATCTTCTTTATGGTGACAAAAGTACATCTCTACATGACAAGTAAATTATGAAAACTTGGGTAGAAAATAATGTCAATTCACATACCAAGAAAAAACAAAATAAGATAATGTCATGTCAAGCTAAAGGTTATCCGTATCAACTTTGTAATATAGGAATCTGATTTTTAAGAGATAGTCTACGGCGGTCTTTCCTGGTTATATTTCAAAACACAGGCACAGATTTGAGTTTGCATACATACCACATTCATATCAACTCGAAGCTCCTCAAACCAGGCAGTAGTTTCTTTATCTTTCAGCACACTTGCAATATATATGCAGGCTAAAGCAATCAAATGTGGCGGATGTATGAGAATTAGGTCCATCTTATAGGTGTCATTTACAAGTCCCCTGGAATTTAAGTAGAATTCCAGACTTATCAAAACAAAACAAGAATGTAGATTTTTGGAAATATCTATTATGGGACGTCATATTTTGCAGTAATCTGGTGAATTTCACAACTGGAAATCAAAGATATGAAGGCCTCTGAAAGTTTCTTACCAAGTCAATTGAGTTGTATCGCTCATGCCGGCATCCTGAAGGAACCTGCCAATTGAGTTAAAAATCAAGTTATACTGAGAAAAATTGATCATCTACACAAGGAAGATTATAATTTGATTGCTTGGAGACTGCAAAAACACTTTAACACACAACTATCTACTCTAGTCTTATCATTCATATCCAGAACTCCTTCATTAGTGAAATAGTGAAAATACATGAACCAAGTTTAAGATTCTATTTTTCTGCTGCATGTTAGGGGTGCAAGCTGTGGCCTGAGAAAGTATACTTAAATGCGGAGACCAATTACTATTACGGAAGTACGGAAACCTTCGGCAATAATTTGCTTTGGGCATAGGGGGGAGGAATAAAATTCTTCTTCTCAAGAGGAGGGGGAAGGAGGGTTATCGGGAATCATTTGGCAAATGGATGGTGATTTTTTCTTGTTTTGAATGTTAAGATAATCTACAAGATACTTACTGTGATAATGAACGATATGGATGATATACAACTAAGTAATAGTTTAGGGCTTCCAAAACTTTCATCTCCATATCAAGTATGTCTTTTATTTCATACTTATACTTCTCATCCGAATCTGCATAAGCAATCAGTAAAATCAACATCTTCTATTACAAATTAACTAAATTCGGTATTCCGTGTAGTAACAATAGGATACCATAATAGTACTTGGTTATTGTAATCACAGTGGTACTTACATAATTTCTTGATGTAAAATACAAGAAGTCGGGCCTGCACAGTGCTTTCTTCTGCTTTTGATGCCAAATACAAGCAAGTTGGAGCAACCAGACGAGGATCATACTCTGTCATACTTCTCCTACGGACAAGAAAACAGATGATTAGAGAGAATGGTTCAAGGCGAAGCAATAGTAGGCCCCTAGAATATAAGTGCGACTTTAAAGGTTTCAATTTTGAAACGGAAAGGATATAGAGTCCAAATTAAAGAATTCTCCTTCCAATTAGAATGACTTGGTCCTGGATTGCTATTCCAAGAAACAGTTAACACATGGATTCAGAATACAAATAAACAATTGGTCCAACCTTTTTAAGATAACTTTTTGTAACACAGGAAGGTATATGACTTCTTCACGGTTTGTCATTTATGTGCATATGTGATATATCGTACACATATCTCCATTTTCTGTAAGAATAGCTAAAGTGGTCCATCCAATAACCTTTCTGAATCAGCTTATTTATTTAGTTTACTTAATTTCTTCAGGATATAAAGTCATTTTCCGATAATGTGTTTCTGCCAGAATATAATGAATCACGATTTGAGTGGCTGCAGCTGGTGATTGCGTATATCTGTGAGGAAATGCTTAGGAGAAGTGACTCTTCAGACTTTCTCTCACTGACTGCACTGAGTTTTTCCATTAAGTTCTACATTTTGTTCGCAGGACTAATTCACTTTTCCTCTTTTATGATCCATTTAAGCAAGCCAAAGAATTTACGCGATATCTTTAAGAACCATTAGCTGATCAAATTTCATTGGTTTAAAGCAATATGGATTTGTGTCTTGTTGGTGGCTTGTTGAGTTAAAACATATAAGTAGTTTACCCTTCACAGTGACACCCTGAAGGTACAATGAATAGTGTACTTTCCTGATTAGGTAAATGATTTACAATAAATAGTGTAATGTCCTACTATCAGGGATAGCACGATATACCTGACATATACGCGTCTCATGTACGTAACTGCGGTAGCAACAACCCTGTAAATTAACCACATATTAGATATCTAGATTGCTGGAAGCAGCAACAAGGGATTTTGCATTATTCAGTTTCATGCTTATTTTGAGCTGTCGCTAAAATTTCTCCTTGATGAAACATTTAGGATAAAATATCTCTCAGTACCCTTATGTGAAAGTTAAGCAGATACACATAACAAACACTCAGGTGGTTTTTTTATTTCTTTTGAGAAAGAACAGTCAGGTGAAATTCTCCACCTTATTCGCATCCAACCAATGGAATAGATAAATTTACACATAAAAATAGAGAAGTACATGTCTTCCTTCAGGAAAATTAGATGTCTAAACAAATATTGACCATGTCTATGGTAACAACATCAAATAAACATGTTTTGCTCAAACCAAATAGCACTGCAATTTTTCAGCTAACAGAGAAAATTATGCTCATAAAGAGACAACTATGATGATGAGAGAGAACATAAGAAATGTTTATTACTTATAATAGAAAGTTTTATAAGCAGATGAGCATAGAAAACAGACCTTTGTCGCACTTTCACATTTTGAGCCAATCTTGCAACATCTGCAAGGGAGCAGAGAAATTAACAAGAAGGAAAAAGTTATTTAAGTTGTCAAGTGCAAGTTTATGATTGATAACAAGATTCTGCAAGTCAGCCAAAGATACCAGACATATATACATAAAAGAGAAACAAGTAAAGCAGAATTCTGAGAAATTTGAAGTCATGCAAATATGATGAGGAAAGGATAAGTGGCACTCAAGTGGTATACAGAAGGTTTCAATTATTTCTGTAATGTGTAGATATGCCAGACAATTGAATTTAACTGCAAGTACCAGTGTGTACATCAACAAATTTGCCATGTCATGTAGAAAGATGCATATTTTTAGTACAAGATTGATATAGGAACTGAGTGCTAAAAGACCAGTATTACATAACAACAACAACAACAACATCCCAGTATAATCCCACAAGTGGGGTCTGGGGAGGGTAATATGTACGCAGACCTTACCCCTACCCCGAGGGGCAGAGAGGCTGTTTCCAGGAGACCCTCGGCTCAAGAGAGCAACAAGAGACAATATATTAGTACTATCAATAGACTCATAGTAAATAACATAAAATACATAACATAAAATAACAAAATAACAACAATATAAGAAATATAGGAAATACGAAAAGGATGTAAGGTATACTAATATCAACAGATACAGCCCTGCATCAGTAGCTGATCAGTAGCATCCTAAGTCTAACTCCTAAATGGCTAGTCTCCCTCTAGTGCGTTGTAGTAATATTCACAAACTTCCCCCTAACCTACAACTTTAATGCTCGACCTCCATAATTCCCTGTCAAGGGTTATGTCCTCAGAAATCCTAAGTCGTGCCATGTCCTGCCAGATCACCTCCCCCCAATACTTCTTAGGTCTCCCTCTACCTCTCATCGTGCCCACCACAGCCAGTCGCTCACACCTCTTCACTGGTGCATCAGTGCTCCTCCTCTGAATGTGCCCGAACCATCTGAGTCTTGCTTCCCGCATCTTGTCCTCCATGGGGGCCACACCCACCTTCTCTCGAATATCATCATTCCTAATCTTGTCCATCCTTATATGCCCACACATCCACCTCAGCATCCTCATCTCTGCTACTTTCATCTTCTGGATGTGTGAATTTTTAACCGGCCAACACTCGGTCCCATACAACATAGCAGGCCTAACCACTGCTCTATAAAACTTACCTTTTAGTAACGGTG